GAGTTGTTACCCCTTTGGATGGATCACCTATAATTTCACCATCCTTGACATAGTTGTACTCTCTTGGATAAGATACTTCCCTTTCTTCAATGGTTGGATTCTCAAGAGGATCATGAGTTTCCTCATTTTTCATTTCTTCCTTTGATGATGGTTCTCCAACTTCATGTCTAACGTCATTTGTATTTATAACACCTATATCATCATTCACACAAGAATCCTTCCTCGGAAGGGGATTATCATCGAAAACAACATGTATAGATTCTTCTACAACTAAAGTTCTTTTATTAAATACTCGATAAGCTTTAGAATTTAAGGAATAACCCAGAAAAATTCCTTCATCACTTTTAGCATCAAACTTGCCAAGGTTCTCTTTACCGTTGTTTAAAACAAAACATTTACATCCAAAAGGATGAAAATAGCTAATGTTAGGCTTTTAATTTTTGAAAATTTCATATGAAGTTTTCTTTAAAATTGGCCTAATCATTACTCGATTTATAACATAACAAGCGGTATTTGTGGCTTCCGCCCAAAAATATTTTGGCAAATTATTTTCACAAAGCATGGTTCTAGCCATTTCTTCTAAAGTTCGATTTTTCCTCTTAACAACTCCATTTTGTTGAGGGGTTCTAGGTGCTGATAAATTATGGCTAATACCATTAGAATTACAAAACTCAATAAATCCAAGATTTTCAAATTCAGTGCCATGATCACTCCTAACACTAGTTATAGAGTATCCTTTTTCATTTTGGATTATTTTTGAAAATGTGATGAAATGTTCTAATGCTTCATCTTTAGTACTTAAAAATAGAACCCGAGTATATCTAGAATAGTCCCAAAAAGATCTATATGGATCAATTGTAATACTCTACTAGTTGATACGTCATTAATGGATTTAAAAGAAACTCGCTTTTGTTTTCCTTTAACACAAGCATCACATATTTTATCATTATCAAATTTAAGCTTAGGCAACCCTCGAACTAAATCACCTTGAATTAGCCGTTGCAAAACACTCATACTAGCATGTCCTAGTCTCCTATGCCATAACCAACTATCATGTTCATCCTTAGCCACTAGGCACAAATTAGTCATATCAATAGAATCTAAATGCACCATGTATATGTTTCCTATTCTATGACCAACAAGCATAATCTGATTAGATGCAATGTCAATGACTTTACAACCATTAATATCAAACATGACATTCAATCCTTTATCACAAAATTGACTAATACTCAATAGATTATGCTTTAATCCATTCACATATAAAACATTCTTAATTTGTATGGAAGAGGTATTACCGATAGTACCAATACCTTCAATGTGACCTTTTGAATCATCACCAAAAGTCACTTCTCCTCCATTTTTGGCGTTAAGCTTAATGAACCGGCTTTTGTCTCCGGTCATGTGTCTTGAGCATCCACTATCAAGGTACCATGAGTTTGAATTTGTTTCCCGTGCCTTGTAGCAATGCTCATTTTCCTACAAACATAGATTAATTTCTAATTTTTGGTACCCAAATTCTTTTGGGTCCATATTCATTAGTTTCCAAAATCCTAGTCCCCTTAGGTATCCATTTGTGTAGGATATCCTTATCTTTAGTAGTAATGAGCTCCTTAGGAACCCATATACTTCTAACGTTTTTTCCATTAGAGGTTCTTTGGAGACCTCTATGATTGTAGTTTTTAAAACTTTTTCTAACAAAGTTGGATTTTGAATTTTCTCCACTTTCAAAACGTTTTGTTCCAACTTTATCAAAAGAAGCTTTAAGATCATCAATTTTCTTTTGATGATCATCATTGACCTTTGAAAGTAAATTTTGTAAATCTAAATTTTTCTTTTCAAACTCTTCTAGTTTGATTTGCAAATCTTTGATTTTACTTTCAAGATCGTTGTTGGTTTTGGATATGAGTTTATTTTCATTTTTCAATTTTGAAACATCATTTTTATATTTTAAAAACAATTTCTCATAATCCGACGCCAACACATTATATTCCTCTAATAGCTCATCATAGGATAAATCATCAAAATCAGATGAGTTAGAGGTTACCTTAGAATCTTTCCCGAATGCCATCAAGCACAAGTTTGCTACTTCTTGTTCCTCTTCATCGGAACCTTCTTCATCGCTCCATGTAGCCACATGAGCCTTGTGCTTATTCTTTGATTGACCGTTTCTCTTTAATTGTGGGCAATCATATTTGACATGCCTTGGCTTTTTGCATTCATAGCAAATAATCGAGTCCTTTTCTTTTGGTTCATTTTTAAGGCCTTCATTTCGTTTGAATTTTCTTCCTCGGTAAGGTCTCATCATTTTTCTGAACCGTTTGGAAAACAATGCCATTTCCTCGTCATCGTCATCTTCATCCGAATCACTCTCATTTTTTGTGGATTTGAGAGCAACTCCAATGTTTTTCTTCTTCTCTTTCTCCTTTGGTGTCTCTTCAATCTTATCAAGGTCCACCTCATCTTCAAGCATCATTTCATGAGTGAGGAGTGAACCGATTAGCTCTTCAAGAGTTAAGGATGTTAGATCCTTAGACTCGATGATTGTCGTCTTCTTTGATTGCCACGATTTTGGGAGGGAGTAGACTAACTTCCTCACAAGCTTTTCATTTGAAATGATCTCTCCATATGATTTGAGACCATTGACAATCGTTGAAAATCTATCCGTCATAGCTTTAATATCTTCATTTGGTTTCATCCTGAAATTTTCATAGCTATGCGTTAGAATACTAATTTTAGATTTCTTTACCTCATCGGTACCTTCATGAGTGACTTGAAGTTTGTCCCATATTTCTTTGGCGGCTATACAAGATGAAACTCTTCCGTATTCATCTGGTCCAAGAGCACAAAATATGATATGGATGGCTTTGGAGTTGAGCTGGAACATTTTTGTCTCTCCTTCACTCCATAATCTTGGATGAGTGAGAGGCTTGAAGTATCCTTCTTCTACGACATTCCATGCTCCCATGTCACTTGCTTGAATGAAGTACATCATTCTATTCTTCTAATAGGCATAGTTATCCCCATTGAAGAAAGGAGGCTTGTTGACGGGCATCGAATCGAGACCAGAGTCGAAGTTTGAAGTAGATGTCATTGATGACTTTGATTATCGATATAACTCTTCCCGAATCGACTCAAGAGGTGATTAAACCTTCAAATGAGTTAGGCTCTGATGCCAATTGTTGAGTTAATCGATTGACAGAATTGGCCAAGAGGGGGGTGAATTGGCAATAAAAATTTTGGTGGGAGCTTTTGTAGAAAATTGAAAGAAATTGCACAGCGATTTAGAGTGGTTCGACTTTCTCAACCAAAGTCTACGTCCACTACCTTAGCTATCCACACTAAGGATTTTCCACAAATTCACTAATTTGTCTTTCTTTTGAGGACAAAGAGTAACCTTACAAACCCTCAAGAATTATACCTCAAATTCTTGTGAACACTCTCTCCCAAAGAGAACAATACAAATTTGCAAACTTACAAGGAAATCCTCACAAGGTAGATTATTGCACAATTCTAGAACAAAGAAAAGAACACTAAAAAATGAATACAATTGAGCACAATAAGTGTTCTTGAAAGCAAAATGAATATTGAATGAAAAATAGGCTTGAAATGCTCAAACTTGAGGTTTGATACTTTCTCTTTGATTCTCTCTTGATTCTAGTTGCTTGATGTTTTCTTATTATTGATCAATGGCTTCTAAGCTTGCTTAAATACACCTTGAATCACTTCTAAACGTTGGGATGATTAGAGAATATAATATAGTCGTTTTAGTGTGAAAACAATTAATAAAACAGCTTGGAGCGTGGGGGGAATCGGTTCCCTAAGTGTAAAGTTCAAATATTTCGACCGTTACACAGGGGGAATCGGTACCCCTGGGGGGAATCGATTCCCTCCGAGCATACTGGAATTCTCTGAGCCAAACCATTCAGGGGGGAATCGGTACCCCCTTGGGGGGAATTGGTTCCCTCTGAGCAATCTGGAGTTTTTGGCTTTGAAATGGTTCAAAATACTTTGTAAAATTATTTTAAAATTGTTTTAAGATTAAAACTTAATTTTACACTTGAGTAAGGATTAAAAATGATTTTTGAAAGATTTAGAGTACTGTTTTGATATTCGAATAATTATATCGAATATACTTAGAAAACTTTATTGCACAATCTTAAAATTCATTTAACTTAATTTGTTATATCGAAATATCAAAATGTTTTCAACACTTTTCTTTTAAATTCCAAAAGTGTCGATACTTATTTAAATGGAATCGATACTTTCAACATATCCGGTAGCGCTTTACCGGTTTTGTCATAATGAAACTAGTTTTGTCATATTTTTACTTGTTATATTGTTATGTATCGATATATTTTTATAAAGTATCGATACTTTATAAGTGTTATTACTGTTATAATGAAACCGGTAGGTATTTTAACGTAATAGGTAGTGCCGATTTTTTTTACTGTTTACATTATTAGCAACCTTCAAAAAAACGGTAGATAATTTAATGTAATAGGTAGAGCCTATTTTTTTTACCGTTTGCATTATTAGTAACCTTAAAAAAATCGGTAGGTATTTTAATGTTATATGTAACACCTATTTTTTTTTTACCATTTACATAATTAGCAACCTTAAAAAAAACCGGTAGGTAATTTATTGTAATAGGTAGTGCCTATTTTTTTTACCGTTTACATTATTAGCAACCTTAAAAAAAACCGGTAGGTAGTTTAATGTAATATGTAGTGCCTATTTTTTTTATACCGTTTACATTATTAGCAACCTTTAAAAAAACCTATAGGTATTTTAATGTAATATGTAACATATATTTTTTTAACGTTTACATTATTAGCAACCTTAAAAAATCGATATTTTTAATCAGTCATTTATTTAATCAATCACGCTCCATTTTTTAATCGCGTGACAACAGAACTTCCCTTGAATTGATTTACTTTCAACTTGTCATTTTTCGACTCTCCTTTCTATTGGCCTTTATTTAACCATAGAATAGAAACAACCATTAATGCCTCGGTTGAGTCCAAATTGTAGGTTGCCTTTAACAGCTGCCGCAACCATGTTCAGCAGAGAAGCTTATAATCCTTTATTTTACATCCAAAAGGCTACAAATGCTCACATTCCTTCGTCTACCGAATCATCGAGCTCGTTTTCGGATGCTTGTAAGTTGTTCGACGAAATGTATGACTTAGGTGTAGTTTCAGCCACTTCCATAATTGGAACCTTCTCTAAGAAACAGCAACATAAAGAAGCCATATATTTGTTTACCAGGATGCTTTCTAACAATATTAGACCCACTGAGTTCACGTTTGGGACTGTGATGCACTCTTCCTCTTTGTTAAAGGACCTCAATATCGGGAAGCAACTCCATGCCTGTACAATCAAAATGGGCCTTAATTCCAATGTTTTTGTGGGTAGTGCAAGTTTAGATCTTTATTCAAAGTTGAGTACAATAGAGGAGGCAAACAGGGTTTTCGAAGATACCCGTCAACCCAATGTTGTATCTTACACAACTTTGATATCTGGATACTTGAAGAATGAGAGGTTTGAGGATGCTTTATGGCTGTTTAAAGTGATGCCTGAGAGAAATGTTGTTTCTTGGAATGCAATGATTTCTGGGTTTAGCCAAACTGGTTTTAATGAAGAGGCTGTAAATCTTTTCATTCAGATTGTCGTAACCGGTTTTCGTCCGGGCACGAAATATTAAATTTGGTTGGAAAATTGATGTGAATAAATAATTTTGAAAAATAATTTGTGAGTGGCCATCGGCCTTTTGGATCAGGTAGGTCGAATACCTAAAAATTATTTTCTTTAAAAGAGTTTTAAGAAAACATCAATTAAAAAAATGAACTGATCTGCGTTCTATAACCAAAAATTTGTTTTTTTTATTAATAAAAAGGATTCGTGGTCGGTTACGTTTAGGGAAGGATTAGCACCCCTACAACGCCCAAAATTGGTACTTTTTAATTATAAATTGTCTCGATTATTAAAATTTAAAAATTCAAAAATATATTTATAATCCTATTATTTTAAAATTATATAAAAAATATTTATTTATTTAAAAATATCAGAAAAGAACTTCTAGGTGCCTTAAGACAATTCTTTTCTTTGATATTGATAAATATTAATTTAAAATATATTGTTTAATTTTTAAAATATCAGAACAGGACATCCAGTTGTATTAAGACTGTATTGTTCTTTGATATTGAAAACTAAATATTAAAATGATTTATTTAAAATAAATATTTATTTATTATATACTTATAACAACATTTAAAAATATAAACAAGTAAAAGAATACAATTCTAAATATATATTTAAAAGCAATAAAAAAAATACTTAAAATAAATGACTAAAATATAGTGAAATTAAAATTGACAAACCTAATTCATAATTAATCAGAATTACAGGGATTAATCAGGCTATTTTCTTATTTAATAATTTAGTGATTAAAATAAACTTATTTAAAATTCGAATATAAGATTAAAATAAATTAAAAATATAAACTAGGGATTAAAATATTATCTATTAAAATTAAGGGATTAAATCTGTTATTTATCCTAAATATATTATTTTAATATAAAGGACTAAAATAAAAGAAATTAAAATTCGAAGACTGAATTAAAAATATTATAAATTCAATTTAATGACTAAAATGTAAAACATATAAAACATAGGGATTACGGAAAGGGTTTAACATTTATAAAATTACAAAAATAGCCCTCCCCAAAACGGCGTCGTTTGGGAAGGGCTATTTAATGCCCAAACCGGCTGGCCCTTCGGGCCAGCTATCTCATTTCTTTTTTTTTCTTTCTCTCTCAAACAGAGAGAGAAGAGTTCTCTGGCTTCTCTCTAAACTGAGAGAAGCCGTCCCGGTCAGCCACCGCTACCGGGCTCCGACCACCGCTGCCGGCCACCGTTAATGGTGGCCGGAAATTACAAAAATCCACCAAAATATAGATCGGGACGGTCTAAAACCGTTTCCGGTGTTCTTTTTCCTTAAAAAGCTCCCAATCGGAGCAGATCTACAAAAATACCTTCGGTTTTCGTTGTATCCGGCGACGGTTGGGGTTCTCCGATGACAGAGTAAGCTTCTTTCCTCTCTTCTCTCCTTTTTTTTCTTGCTGCGTTGATGTTGACTGAGATCGTTGGTATATTTTTTAGTATATCTTTTTTTTTCTCTGTTTTTTTTTCTCTCCGTCTCTCTGTGTTCTCTGTCTCTCCGTTTTTTTTTCTGTCGTTTCTGGGTTTTTCAGGTTGGGGTGGTGGCTTTTATAGCCAACACCGGTGTGGCCATCGGACCGGTCCGAAGATGGGGTCTCGGTGAGTCACCGGACTACCAGTGGTGACTCACCCCGTAGCCATGGCGTGGACAGCTGGCGTTGGAGCTTCTGGAGCCTTCGGTTGGGACGTGGCAGTGGCGGAGGCGGCGAGATAGCAGCGGCGGCCGCGTGTCCCTAGGGTATCAGACCCTAGGGTTTCCATCTGGGGCAATCTGGACCGTTGGATCTCTTAGATCCAACGGCTGTGATGAGGCGGCCGGCTAGATTAGGGTTAGGAAACCCTAACTGAAACCCCCAAATGTTTAGGGTTTCTGGTTTGTTCTAGACCGGTTCTGGTTTGTTTGTAACTGGGCCGGTCCATTTGTAATTGGCCTGTAATTATTTATTTATATATATTTATTTAATATATATTTAATAATAATAATAATGATAATAATAATAATAATAATAATAATAATAATAATAATAATAATAATAATAATAATAATAATAATAATAATAATAATAATAATGTGGGTAAAAAATTAGTATCTTCAGCTGCCCCTCTTTGCTCATTCTTGTGTTAACAAGAATAGGGCAAAGATGAAAAGATAATAAAATTTTTTATCCATTTGGCTTCACTTGATTATAATGGAGATATTGAATAAATTCTTCTCTTTCTTCAGATGAGTTCTTCTCATTATGAACTTTCTGCTGGGGATGATGATCCATCAAATGATGAATTCAAGCAAAAGATTGAACAAGTTCTTCTCATTATGAACTTCTTCTTCCTTCTTCAGATGACGAGTTCTTCTCATTATGAACTCTACCTGGCAATGTTGATCCATCAAATGATGAATTCAAGCAAAAGATTGAACAAGTTCTTCTCATTATGAACTTTTTCTTCCTTCTTCAGATGAGTTCTTCTCATTATGACCCTTCTCTGGAAAAGATAATCCATCAATTTGATAAATTCAGAAAAAAGGTTGAACAAATTCTTCTCATTATGAACTTCTTCTTCCTTCTTCAGATGAGTTCTTCTCATTATGAACCTTCTCTGGAAAAGATAATCCATCAATTTGATGAATTCAGGAAAAAGGTTGAACAAATTCTTCTCATTATGAACTTCTTCTTCCTTCTTCAGATGAGTTCTTCTCATTATGAACCTTTTCTGGAAAAGCTGATCCATCAAGTGATAGAATTAGGCAGAAGGTTGAACAAATTCTTCTCATTATGAATTTCTTCTGCAGATGAGTTCTTCTCATTATGAACCTTCTCTTGGAAAAGATAATCCATCAAGTGATGAATTCAGGTAACAGGTTGAACAAATTCTTCTCATTATGAATTTCTTCTTCCTTCTTCAGATGAGTTCTTCTCATTATGAACCTTCTCTGGAAAAGCTGATCCATCAAGTGATAGAATTAGGCAGAAGGTTGAACAAATTCTTCTCATTATGAATTTCTTCTTCCTTCTTTAGATGAGTTCTTCTCATTATGAACCTTCTCTTGAAATGTCAATCCATCAAATGATAGATTTGAATCTTTGCTAAAATCTTTGAAATTCCTGTTAAAAATTCAACAAGAATAAAAATGAATGAAAATGCATCTATTTTTGCAAATGCCTAAATATGATGCATGAATGTTAAGTTGTTTGATTTCAGATTGGTGAATTGAGTATTTCTTCAATTGTAAAAACCCAATAGATCTTTCTTCTTCAAAACAAAGAATCTATCATCTTTGACAAATATAGATGTAGATATAATGTCACAAAACCTCTTGAGAATAAAACTCAATAGTATAGGCTCTTGAAAAGCTTGTATTCAGGCAACATGTTGATTCTGATAACAATTCATCTGATTATGAAGTGACCTTTCAAGATGATTTCACAGATATCGATAGTTCTTCTAATACCGAGAAATCTTGACTTCTGATTCTGATGAAGAGAATAAACTGTTATACTTGACAAAAATGTGATTCTCAGAGGCTGAAACTTCAAATAGCTTTCTTCCGGTAAAAGATGGGAAGCCATTATGTGATGATCCCAGTTACAAGCAAAGGCGAAACTTGTGCTATGATTTTTGGGAAAGGAATAAGCAAAAGAAGCTTGAAAAGAAACTTCTTAATGAAGACGATCATGCAGTTCATCTTTTAATTCTAATGATTGGTTCTGTAGTTCTTACCAAACCAGATCAGATAACTCAAAGAACACTTCCAGAAGATGCTATGAGCACATTCATCTTCCAAATTCAATGATTGGTTCTGCCAAACCAGATCAGATAACTCAAAGAACACTTCCAGAAGATGCTATGAGCATATTCATCTTCCCAATTCAATGATTGGTTCTGCTAAACCAGGTCAGATAACTCAAAGAACACTTCCAGAAGATGCTATTAACAAATTCATCTTCTAAATTCAATGATTGGTTCTGCTAAACCAGATCAGATAACTCAAAGAACACTTCCAGAAGATGCTATTGGCAAATTCATCTTTCAGTTAATGTTTGGACTAGGATATCACAATACTTATTTGATGTAGAGCCAGAATTTGTAGATTCGAAGTATTTCCATGCTACTACACTGAAAAGGGCTATATTCATAATTCTGCCAATTAAGAACAGATTTTCTCTTATTTTGCTTCCTCCATGTGCTGATGCTTTTCCATTGACAAAGAAATGATGGCTTTCATGTGATCCAAGAACAAAGTTGAACTGTTTATAAACATGTACAGGACGTCTCAAATTGACAGAAAGGATCTATAAGGTTCTTGAAGCTTATGACAATGAGCCACCTTCAAGTGTCCAGAAGTATGTTCTTAATGAGTGCTGAAAATGGAATCTAGTATGGGTTGGAAGGAATAAAGTTGCTCCACTTGAACCTGATGAGGTGGAAATACTTCTAGGTTTCCTTAAAAACCATACACAAGAATCTGTATAGAGATATGTTTCCCAGTGATATCAATGTCTTGTTTCTTTTTACTGGAATCAAAGCTACAAAGGTTGCCTTCTACTGTCTTAGTATATTTTTGAAAACAGATGTGCAAGACCTAAATGGTGATCGATTGGAGCAATTGATGAGTAGAATTGTCAAATTCGACCTTGTTCAAGATGGTGATGATTTGCTTACTTTGTATTCCATGTATTTAAAAGTATTAACATAAAGTGATATTCAGAAATCTTTAATTTATTTCAAAATTATGTTAAATCATAGAAGAATAAATTGAATTTCCAAAAATAAATTGAATCTCAAATAAATTGAACTTGAAATAAATAGAATTGTATTCAAAGTTATGGCAAACATAAGAATGATAAAAATTCAAATGTCTCAACAAATTATAAGCATAAGTATTTCTAAATTAATCAAGTTGACACAATTTAGAGATGATGTAAGCTTTTGTCTGGAAGATCTCAA